CCTGCTGGGGCGCCCGGGGCTCCCGTCCTCCGCAATGCAAATCCGTGCGCGGCCACTCGCGCCCTCCTCCCGCTCCCCTCCTCCCGGGCCCTCCTCCCGGGCCCTCCTCCCGCCAGAACCGAGTCGGTGTCAGTCACGCTGCTCCCGGGGAGAGTCGCCGGCAGCTTCCGGGAGCTCCAAATACAGCCGAGCCGAGGGGGAGAGAGGGAGAGGGGGAGCGGGCTACGCGGGTGGGGAGTGGAGACAGAGGGGGACTGGGGCGAAGAGGGGGTTGCAGGGGGAGAGGAGGGGCAGCTGAGCCGTGGGAGAAGAGAGAGGGAGATGGGGATGCCAGAGAAGGGAAAGAGCCTGGCCAGCGCCAGGCTCTGGACGACAACGATAGCCGCATCAGGCAGCCTTGCAAAGAAGTCTGGAAAGATCCTGGAGGCTCCTGGCTGGCGGAGCCGCGGAGAGATTGGAGCCTCAGGCTTGAATAGAGATGATGGTTCCTGAGGGAGCAAGATGCAGGCCGAGTGGTGCTCAATATGTGGGTAACGAACCCCGGGAGGAGAGAGAGGAACACAGCTTAACCTTTAGCGAGCCTTGCAACTCGATGCGTCCGTATCTTGGAACATCTTCAAATGTATTTTGCATACATGTTTTAAAGGAAACATTGCTGGAGCATTTCAAAACAAATGTGCCCCAAATCAAGATGCTTTTAAGGTGTGTCTTTATGGTCATTTCCTCTTCACCTATTGATTCTAATGGCAGAATTGGAGGCTTTTTACTCTTTTGTTAATACAGAAAGAAAACATTGATTTTCATTTTTCATCAATTTATTTCAGTCTGAAAAAGTGCACTCGAAGCTTTCCTTGAATGAATGCCAGGAAAATACTTACAGAGGAGAGAGGGAACCCGGGAGGGATGTAATTGATAATTCTTAGACAAAAATTTCAAACATGAGAGTGAATTCTAAAAAGCCAATATTCTCTGTCAGTGTTAAAATTGCATCTAATGAAGTTCTACAAGGCTTACTCTGACCCCACTGGCCACAAATTAAATGAAGGTCATTGCTATTACACATGCTTCTTGGCCAACATTGGTAGCGTGGAGTGTCCCTTTGCTTTCTCTTTGGAAAGAAGAGAAACAAAATGACATAAACATTGATCATGAAAAAAACCAAGACAGTTACCCAGAGCCATTATATTCAATATGCTTGTGCTAATGATGGATGGGTGGGTGGGTGCATGGATGGCTGGATGGATGGATGGGTGGGTGGATGGATAGCAAAAAATAATATGTACGGGAGAACCAATTTATGCAGATTCACAGAAAACTTCCAGGTATCCAATGTAACACAGCTTTTTTTAAAAAAAAAATTAACTTCAACAGACACTGATTCGACATTTTCATTAGTTAAAGATATTTTGCATGAGAGTATAGAGTATTATGACATCCAAAGGTGAATACAGCACAAATCTTTTTTTTTTTTTAAAGATTTACTTATTTATGCATACAGAACTAGGTATAAGCCAAAGGTGTGGGGGGAGGGGGGTGAGAGGATTCACCAGAGATGGAGTGGAGAGCAGAACAGGCAGAGCAAGTGGAAGACATTGCTGAGGGGAGCAGTGGGTGGCTTAGGAGGGGTCTGCCATGCCACATGGGTCACCTCCCTGACTAGGGATTGAACTCACACCGAAGTGGCTGCAATAGCTTCATAGTTCTGTGCTTTCTTTGAATGAATGCCAGGAAAATAATTCTATCAGTATGAAATGCTCAGGTGAGCAATACCAGTGTTCCAGCACCAGAGATACTATGGGTGACACTTTGTTCAGTAAACAGAGACAGATGGTTATTCAGGCAGATTAGCTCTAGAGAGATTTCAGGAGTCTATGAGTTCCATGGATGGTATATAATGTTTGTGCATTTATCTGAGAAGATGATACATAGCTATGATTACATTTTCCTGGCTGTCCAGAGTGCAAACAGCTGACCCAGTGCTATCAGCCTCGAAGTTTGGGTTCAGCAAGTGTAATTTCTTGGGCATCACTTCTTTCTGTAAAGGATGGCTTGTACTGCCTGCACCTAAGCTCCTTTAAAGGATAACTCACTAATCACAACTTTCCAAGTTCAGAAGGCATTTGAGAAGATGAAGGGAACTGGCTTAAACCAGGATAGGCCTTTAGTAACCCACTTTGTAGATAAGATTGTGCCTGCATGAAAATTTTATGTAACTGGAAATAGGTAAGTCTGTGCGTCTTAAATCCAAGGATTCTTTTTACATTCTACTTGCTGGTGAAGTTCTACCTGGACAATACAATCCATAGTCATCTCTTCCTTCTTTGAATACCTTTGAGTTTTATAGGTTAGTTATTATATTAGACAGTATTTCCATTTTTTTTCTTTTTTCCAATCTCCTTCCCCTCTATATTTAAATACCTAAAAGTAGAACCATGCTTACATCACATTTACTTTATATCAGTATTCAATGCTCAGGAAAGCACTGCCCAGAGTTTCTTTTGCACAAGTTGATAAATAGCTTCCATTTACTTATTAGTTGGCTAGGTGTGCCCATGCCAGGCACACCTATAGAGTTGCATATGGTGGCCCTTAGCCAGAAAAGGGATGGCAGTCAGAAAATAATTTTATTGGTTTGCTTACTGAAGCAAATCGAGATCTAAAATCAGAGTCCAGGCCCTCCCTGGTGGCGCAGTGGGTTAGAGCACAGCTTCAAGCTAACCTCAGCCTTCAGTGTGAGTGAAGGTGACCCACATGGTACAGCAAGACCATTCCTGACGCGCCCGCTGCTCCCCTCAGTAGTGTACTTCGACAATCTGCCTGTTCTGCTCCCTACTCTGTCTCTGGTGAATCCTCTCGCTGCCCTGGCACCTCTGGCTTGTATGTATAAATAAATAAATCTAGAAAGAATAATAAAGAATTTAAAATCAGAGTTGCAGTGCTGTGAAGCTATCCACAGCCATGAGTTCGATCCCGGGCCAGGTTCCACCTGGCCCACATGGTGCAGCAGACCTCTCCTGTTTCACCTGCTGCTCCCCTCAGCAGTATATTTTAGTCAATATCCCTCTTCTGCTCCCCATTCTGTTTCTGGTGAATTGTCTCACACACACACACCCCCACCTCTGGCCTACACCCTCCCACCTCTGTATGCAAAAATAAATATATCTTTAAAAAATAAAATAAAATCAGAGTCTGGGGAAATAGACAAGTTTGTCCAATATACTACAGAAAATAAAGTGATTGCTCAAAATTTTGTTTAATATATTTTTGAAAACCCCAACTACTGGGAAGAAGTAAGATAATGACTTTGCAAACAGAATTAATGAGAAAAAAACTCAGAAGCTGCCTAAGGGAGAGAGATTATGCAAGAGAATTTAAGAACCTGGATGCCAACTGGAACCCAGAGTAAATATAAAAGAAGCTACCAACATGGCATTTAGTTTTTGTACTCTAAGTATTAAGGAGATTTGAGAAAGTGAAATTGCTTGAGGCTAGTGGTTAGATAAGGGTTTATTAGAAGGCAAGTTTATTTATTTTTCACTTTAATGTAATAGAATGAAATTTCCTTAAAAATAAGGAAAAGTTAGAGTACATGAAAATAACCATAGCATTCTAATCCAGCATGCTAGTATTTGTATGTGCTTTCATTTCTTTTCATACCTTTTTTTTGTGATACATTTTGTAGTTGTAAGTTAAAAATACAGTTACAGGCCCTCCCTGGTGGTGCAGCAGGTTAATGCACAGCACAAAGAAGCTTAAGTCACTTCCGCATGAGTTCGATTCCCGCCTGCCCCGGAGGTGATCCACATGGCGC